TTTATTAATTAGTTAGTTAGTCATCAATAGTTAAAGTCCAACTGAAGTAACAAAATTAGATATTCAGTCAGATAGCCATTGTTCTAACAACCTCCATTTTCGTAATCCACTCTTCATTTTCCCGTTAGAGCGATTGTGCAGGGCATTCTAAATAGGACTGCATGGTTCAGTAAGCACCAGGATCAGATCCAGTGCATTTTGTAATGCAACAGACCTAGTCAGACACACCCCCTTTCTTCCAAGGGCTGGTTCACACCGGAACGCTGTGCAGGAAAGATGCGTTCCATGCGCATTTCTCCCCACCACATTCAAATGTTCTTCCCTTGCAATCTGCATGGAAGTGTCAATGTAACATTAACGGTACCCCAAATGCAGATCGCAAACGCAGTACCATGCGGTTTGGTGCGGCTCATCTGAATGTATGCACTATTTTTACTGCATTCCAGTGGGGTTGATTTACTAAAATTGAAGAGTGCAAAATCTGGTGCAGCTGTACATAGAAATCAATCAGCTTCCATTTTTTTTTTTTTGTCAACGATGAATTCAACAAGCTGAAGTTAGGAGCTGATTGGATACCATGCACAGCTGCACCAGATTTCGCACTCTCCAGGTTTAGTATATCAACCTCTGTGTGGTTTGTGAAAATGTGAAAACTGCACCGCATGTGAACACACAAGAATTGCACAGGTTTGGACAGGCACTTTCCAGTGCGATCCTGGTGTGAACCGGCCCTAATACAAGTCTATAAGAGGACCCTTCTGCTGAGGGGTGCAGTTGTTACTCTGCTCTGCAGACACAGAGCACTGGCCTATAAGCAGCATTTTTTCTACAAGAAAAGGTATTTTTAGAGCATTTCTAAACCCAAACCAGGCATAAATCCTAATATGTGATGGTGCAAGGGATACAAATTGTGAAACGTGGCTTGATACAAACTTGTGTGCACAGATTTAAATTGACCAATTAAAATGTAGCTTCTTCCACCAAAACCTTTAATATGTGCATCCACCACATTAAAGGAAACCCGCCCTGAAAGAAATATTGAGGTCACCATTGCTCATTGCTGAACACTTTTTGAAAATGCTAGTATTCTCTGGAACCCACCAAGAACAAACATGTAGATTGGGAAAGTCATTGTAAAGCTGGCCATAGATTACTCTTTTTTTTTTCAATTAGCCAGCAGGCAGATCCAAAAAAAAAATGACTTGCTCTATCCGCACAGTCAAAGCTCATGGAGGAGTTTTCCTCGCTGTGCTATTGTATTTTGACAAAGGTTTTCCAACATTCGCTGATACAGACACAGCAATGTGTTGTCAATCAAAAGGTTATGAGTGGAGCTAGGCATGACTATTCTCTCATAGGACTGTCAATGGTAACAGGGTCTAAGCAGCTACAGCAGCAGCAAAGGGTGACCATGCTGCAGTGATTTAACTAGAAAAGGAGTAACTTTGTCACCCTACGTTAGTACCTACCCAATGTTTCTTTTATCAGCAGGATCAACACAAAAATTTCCAGGGAGTATGTAGAAAAACAGAGAACCAAATTCTACTGGCTTGGGCACCCTGTATTACATATGTGACTTAAAGCAGTATTAAACCTAAAAGCGAACATTTATTATATTGCAGCTTACCAGTTCTTAGATGTGACGGATGAAAATTCAGGCACTGCCTGAGGGCCCGGGGTCAGTAGGTGGCCCCATGAGATGCTCCTGGTACCTTTTTCATAGGCTTTTTTGAGTTTGGGCAAAGACACAGGGGCCCCATGATCCCCTATTGCCAGGGGGCTCTATATGAGTTGTCAGTCCACCCCTGGATGGCTGCATTCGTTTAGTTTTCCTTTATTAGGCTCTCTTTCTTTTATTTTCAGCTGGTGATCTGGCCAGTAAGTCTGTTGTTTTCCAAAGGAACACGATCTCCTGCAGATGTAGCAATTACAGGGATGAGAAAAACCGTTCAGCTCTGGAAGTGGTGCTTACAATGATCAGTTTTATTTAATTGTGTAAAACCTTTATCCCGAAAGGAAACAGCTGTTGCTGTAACTGCTTATAAAGTGTGAGCTGGAGTGTGGCTTCAGTTTGTTAGTGTATTTAAACTTGTAAGTACATTTAACACTTCCTTCCCTCCAGACTGACAATACCATTGTCCAAAGGTTCCCCCTGTGCTCCTTCAATCAGAGTGGGGGCACTCTAATACAGGAGGTGTGTAATTGGTCACATCAATGGGTAAAAGTCTAATAAAGAAAACTAATACAGCCACTACATCTAATGACTGGTAAGCTGCAATATATTACATCTTGTCTTAGGGTTTAATATAGCTTTAATAGTTGGACCATGAGTCTACTTTATTACCATGGTGCTTCCTCTGTTGCTCTAGCCTGACATTAAATTGACACAAAAAAATAACCCAACCATAAATGCTCTCAAGTACACACCAGAGTTCTCCTAGCTAAATTTAGATTGCCACTATATCATCTAGGGTCCTCCTCCATGAATATTGCTTTTGTAGTTCTTTTTTCTCTTTTTATCCATTCACAGCCTCTTGAAAAATATAAATAAAAATGGATGAATGAAAAATAAAATGGCAATGAAAGATCCCACTCTCGCATAAACCAGGAATCCACCTCGTAAACATCTGACTGGGATCTCACTCTCCTTATGTTCTCTTATATCGTGCCTCTGGTGTGCTGGAGATAGGGAGCCAAGCACACCATAATGATAATGTGCACCAGAGATCCACAGGAGGGAAGATGGCGGGACAGGGCTCATCCAGGAAGATCTTGGCAAGTTGCCATCAATATGACGCTTTTTGGGGGTGTCTCCCCTTTCTCAAGCGTGCAAGCAATATAAGAGAACATAAGAACACAGGAGAGTGAGATCCCAGTTGGATGTTTGTGAGGTGGATTCCTGGTTTGGCCATCTAGGATTCTGCTTTAGGATGGGCATGCTGACAAGAACAGAGCATGCGAGTACATAATTTTATGTTTTAATTTTTACTCTCTAATAAAGAACATTATTGCGCTATGATTTGCGTTTCCCCTGTTTTTGATGGATGAATGAAAAAATAAATGAATAAGCGAGAAAAAAAGACAACTTAATCGTAAAGTCTTCTTCAAACAGATGCAAAATCAACGTTATATAAAAATACAGAAATAAACATAAAAGGACAAAACGTTCAGTAGGCATTCTAAATAAACGTCAAGCTCATTTTTCTCCTTTTTTCACCCATTAAACGTGTCATAAAACAGAAAAAAAGAATCAACAAGAACATGCTACTGGGTAAGAGTTCTAAGAAATGCCAAAGTAATTAGCTCAATTGAGTGAGTGGATATATATTAAAACTATTAATGTTATTTATATATTTAATTAGGGAGCCTTTTATAGTACAAAAGAGAAGCATATGTGCAGATAGCTATTGACCTCTTTGTTTCCTTGCCAACCTCTCTTTCTTTGTAAGTGTTTGTGTTACTTTTATGTTTGGCCATAACAAAACATGAAAATGATAGCATTGCCTAGAAGCGTATAATTTACGCTTGTATTTTCATTTTCATTGTACATTTAAAATGCCACAGCGTATTTTGCCTTGCCTCTCTATGATGCTTCAGCTGGGGTTAAGCAACCAGGTTGGAATGTAATTGCAGGCTTTATTATGTCTTTGCATTTACAGAGCTGGAGCTTTACTTTGGAAAGTTCTGTGACTGTGACAGAATGGGCCTAAGTCTATCTGGTAGGCCCATATCTCCTTTCCTTTTTTGCAACTGCTGATTGAGGGGTCTTCTGGGATTCATATGATCATGGCTCCTTGGCTACCTCATGGAAATTGGATGCCATTGTCTGAACTGTGTGTTAAATCTCCCTGAAGAAGCAGACTTTTTTCTTGTGAAACGTGTTGGAGAAAATTTTCAAGACGTTATATACAAGCTGTACACACACCCACTGTATTGTATATGGGAATCTTGTAGAAACAAGCCTGATGCTTTTGTATAGTCACAATATGTTATGGGGATATGTTTTTATACACAGAGCTATATTTATGCTTGCATTCTCTATTTCAAGTTTGCTTTTAATGGTGTTTAATAAAGCTGTACATTTTTTATAATTTGTGTATTGAGTTTTGTTGGTATGGTGTGCCTGATAAAGCCCCAGTGGGTTCTTTTTTGTTAGGGTCCTATTTTTCAGTGTCTTTTGATAAGGGGTGTGGCACCAGTAAAATCCATTTCTCAAGGGCAGAGACCATTGTATATATGTGTCTCTCTCTCCCTCTTTCCCTGTAATAGCAACCAGGTTATCTGTCCACACATGAGATTTTTAGTAGCTTGGGATTAACCTCTTGTTGGTGAATGTTCCTTTTGGGGCACATTTCTAGAATACTAACAAGAAGAATTGGGGCTGTGCAAGGAAACCACCAAACCTAGACAACTGTTGGGAGCCTAGGTTTACCATATATACCTATCACTGCAATATCTAGAATTAAATGGGACTCTGGATTAACTGGGATTTTGGAAGGTTGATGTGTCTATTTGTTTTTTTTTTTTTTCTACAGTAAACCACTTGCCCTCTAGAGGATTCCCCCCCCCCCCCCCCTCCTGACCAGGCCATTTTTCGCATTATGGCACTGCCTTACTTTAACTGACAATTGCATGGTCATGCAACGCTGCACCAAAATGAAATATATGTCATTTTTTCCCACAAATTGAGCTTTGTTTTGGGTGTATTTGAACACCTCTGTGTTTTTTTTATTTTTTCCTCTATAAAATCAAAAGACCAACAATTTTGAGAAAAAAAAAATATTTTGACTTTTTGCTATTAAACATGTCCAGTAAAAAAATGTAAAAAAATCAAAATTTCGTCATAAATTTACACCAAAATGTATTCTGGTAAATGTCTTTGCTAAAAAAAAATCCCAATATGTGTAAATTAATTGGTTTACATGAAAGTTATAGCGTTTACAAATGCGGCATATATACTGGGATTTTTTATTTTTACTAGCAATGGTGGTGATCAGCAATTATAGAGGGACTGCAGCAGAAATTCTGACACTGGGGGGAACTGACTTGGTTTCACAGACATCCCCAGTGACACCAATACAGTGATCAGTGCTAGAAAAAAAGCAATGACACTGTACTAAGGGCACTGGACAGGAAAGGGTTAACATGAGGGGCGATCAAAGGGTTATCTGTGTGCTGGGAGTGTTTTACTAGGGGGCTGTGTCAGTGTGCTTCACTGTAATCACACTGCTTTGGATGACTGTGCTGTGCACAGCCATCCAAAGCAGTGTGCCTGAGTTCACAGGGAGGAGAACTGTTAGTAAACAAAACAGTTCTCCTCCCCATCGGAGATCCTTGAAAATTACTGGGTGCCAGTGAGTAATCACCTGCCGGGACCCGGTGATTGACAGCCGCAGCTGTGTGTGTGTTTCACAGTAAGCACACTGCTTTGTATGTCTCTGCTATGAAGAGTCATACAAATCAGTGTGTAGGAGCTTACAGGAAAGATATGTTTTGTTTACATACAGGTCTGTCCCCTGTCAGAGATACTTAGTGATCACTGGATGCCGGCGAGCAATCACCAGCCGGGACCTGGTTATTGACAGCCAAGGCCGCATATGGTGCCCGCTACCCAGAACTGCTATATCACGTATATATATATATATATATATATATATATATATATGTATAGACGTGATTTTGCGCACCCATGCCGCCCTGCAGCAGTATTTCTGCTATAGGGCAGCCGGGAAGCTGTTAAAGCTTAACTCCAGACAGGTATAAAAAATGCCAATGATTGCAGTTGTATATTTAGTGACCAATGCAAGGACACGGCAGCAAGTCATGCTTTGTGGTGCACTGTGCTTCTACAAAAGGGCTTTTTTTGGCCTGGTGTAGTGCATTGGCAGTTCATTCATAATGAATAGGCTTGCCTTAACACAATGCAATTCACATGTGTGCGCAACATAACAGAAGTACCCCAGTAGTCTAATCAGTCTTCATGTATAATAATTGAAACACTCAGCTAGAGAAAAAGAAATAATATGTGCTGTCATGTATTTAAAAATATGTAACTTTTGCTTATGTTTTACTTTTCTTGTAGTTCTATAGGGCCTCATGCACACAGGATGCAATTCTCCTAGAGGCCTTCCCTTCTGGCAGCAGCATTTTGGCAACGCCTGTAATAGTGTGAAATACATTTAGGTGCATCGAGTGCTTGGTGTTAAATTACTTTGTTGGCCAGAATAAGAACTAATGGCGCATGAAACTCTTGACTAAAGAATTTACAACTATATACTATGGCAGGCTAAAATGGCTATCCTCCCTTTCTCTGATGAGGACCGTGTGGAGATTTATTTGTGGGCCTTCATACATATAATTTTGGGAAACTTCCATCAGATATGGTGCTCTTTAAAAATATTCCAGATGACTCTGCCCCTTCCATGTGTGGTTTTGCCCTGGGCACTGATTCCATTGTGGGATTTGTCTTCCAATTTTCCTCCTTAAATGGGATTTATTTGAGATTTTTTTCTGGTCGTGGTCTACATTTAGAAACTTTTCATCTATCCCGCTTATAACTCCTGATGAAGTGGAGACTTTCAAGAAAATGCGTCGAGCTTTTGGAATAGATAAATCTATATGTTAAGATTGCACATGGTTGGAAATTGTTTTAGCAAAAGATAACCCACTTTGATGTGAGAAAATGTTTACTGTATATGTGAAGACAATATTGTTCTTTTCAAATCTTTTTGATACTGTATATAAGAAAATCTTTATCATTTTAATTGCTAGTTGGTGTGGTGCCGTTAAAATTCCACCATGCTATTGTGGTCTCTTTTTCTCTCTCTTAAATTTATGGGGCTATGGCACAATTAGGCCACATTTTTTCTGTCTTCCCTTATCCTGGCCACTGAAATGAATTAATGCTCAAGCGCTAAATCCACCTAGCGTTTACATCTGCAGGCGTAAAACATTTTTTTTCTGCCAAAACATCACTGCTCTTGTATGCACTGGAAGTGGGTTATTTCTGCTTCTAAGCTCCCCTGCCTCTAAACTCATCTAAGAGCTTAGGTGTGCATGGACACAGAGGCTATCATGCAGGGTGTTTAGAGGCAGAAATAAAAAGCCAGACGTCCATAGGAGCAGCTGAAAAAATATCCAGCATTAAAATGATAAAGATTTTCTTATATACAGTATCAAAAAGATTTGAAAAGAACAATATTGTCTTTACATATACAGTAAACATTTTCTCACACCAAAGTGGGTTATCTTTTGCTAAAATAATTTCCAACCATGTGCAATATTAACATATAGATTTATCTATATTCCAAAAGTTCGACGCATTTTCTGGAAAGTCTCCACTTCATCAGGAGTTATAAGCGGGACAGATGAAAAGTCTAAATCATTCTTTTTATTAATCACTTCCCAACTCCAATGTACCAAATTATCCATGGCCAGTCCACTATTATCTTAGGCTACACCCCCTTATACAACCTAATATTTTGTTATCTGTAACGAAGGCCAACATGGCCACCAAGATCAAAAAGGGTCGTCAAGTCTATGTATGTAAAATTAACTTAATAATGGCAATTTTTTCAATTATTTCTCCAAATTTTAAAAATTTCTTCAAATGTTTGGCAAGTGCTTAAATTACACTTTTCATTAGAGAAATATGGAGTCAGCCATTGCTGACTAGTTGTCTGGCTGTTGCTGACCCTTTTGCTTTATTATTCTAAAAAGACCTGGACCTGGCAATTATCCACTCAGGCAGGGAGCATTTCATGAAGGGAGCACTGGGCAGTACCAGGCATTTTCCCATGCTCTGATGGTGGGTCAGGGTGGTGGTGGAGTGTAGAGGAAGTAAGCGTCTTTGACTTACAAGCTGCATACTATTTCCAAGGCAATCATCTTATATGCAGAGAGCCCTGGAACAAATTGCAGCTAATATCATGTGGTGACAGCTTCCCTTTAAAGTGAATTTCAACCCAATGTAGACATTCATTTTTTCTTCTTTCCTTCCTGCTGCTTATTCAAAAGGGCCATCAATACCTTCCATTACCTATCTGTTGAAAGCGTAAGACTCGATACCAGCAGTATGCTGCTTCTCTTGATGTTCCCAGCTCTAAGCCATGGCCAGATCTATGTGAGGATAAGGCACTGATTGGGTCTTTAAGCATCAGGGAAGCAGAAGGCTACTAGTACCTGAAAGAAGTCCAGTCCTTCCAACAGGAAATTATTATTTAATTGGTCTTTGTAACACTTTTGGGTAGGCAGCAGCTGTAAAAATGGGGAAGTCAGAGAACTATGGTGTCCGTTATGAACCAGCAGTAATAGATTGCTGCTCAGTTCTCCGGCATTCTCGGAGAACACAGTTCTCCTGTGAATGCAGTTTATGAAGCAGTTCTCCGAACGAAGGGAGAAACGGTCTCCAAACGCTGGAGAACAGTCTACAAACTCTGGAAAACGGCTGATTTTACTATAATCTCGCAAGATTACAGTAAAAGATCAGTTTTACTAAGCAGAGGTAAATTATCTCTGTTTAGTTTGCGGTCCCTCTGATTCTCCAGCTCTGGGCTGGAGAATCTGGAGGGAGAACACAGATCTCCAGTGAAGGGCTGACATGATCTCCTGAGTGTCATAAAACTGTGAATGACCAGAGAATAGCTGAGATCCGTTGAATCGCAGCTATTCTCTGTGTCATAAAAGGACACCTATGTTGGGTTTAAGAGATGGGAAGACTTATCACTTGCCCCTATTGGATTATTTGCATACACAGTAAATGGAAAAAAGCACCTCGAAGAGGGGAAACCAGGAAGCACTTCCCAGAGTACAAAAAGGAGGCCCAGCTGTAGCTACAAAATCCATTTTAGCAGGCTCCTCATGGAGACATAGACAACAGTGGAGGACCAGTGTCTGCAAATGCTGACCCCATATGCCGAAAACTTAAAATACCTTTTGGATGGAGTTTCTCTAAGCACAGAGTTTATAACAAACCTATACTGTATACTCAGTTCTGGCTAACAGTGCATACAGTAACAAAAAGCAAAGATGGACGTGTCAACTGAGCTCATCATCTGCTTCCAAACTTAAGCTTATTTTGGGGTAGACTTACACTTTAATTATATTTAAGTCTCCTGTTATACATTTTAATATTAATCACATTATAGTTCCATTTTGTACAAGTAAATCATTTTCTAAAAGCTGTTTTAGAATAAAACAATATAATTAATGTGTAACCAAGAATGAAGTTATTAAAATGTAATTTATTATTAATTAAAGACAGAATCATGTGTTCAAAAGTTAACGTTCTTGTCAGGACAGAAATTTAGCAGTACAAGTGTTCTGTTTCAAATGCAGCTTTATACATTAAAATACTTCAACTGACCAAGTTCAGACTATATGGTCACCTGCTGACTTGGCACCATCCACAGGCAGCTTAACTCTTCCATAAAACACATAAGTTGAATTCAACTAAATTTTACTTCAGATGAGTACAGTACAGAGGATGTTTTTCCAGACTTCTGAGGTGTGAGAAGACAACAACTTTCCTAAGCCCTGTCTCTGTGAGGACCTAACACTTACTAAGGGGAACATGAAAGGAACAGTGAGGTTCTAGCTAGGATGAAGCTAGCTCTCATAAAAAGAAGGGGAGGACAAAGGGAGACACCAACTACATGTAAATACGTTTTAGTGAATCTAAACTATCACCATATGTCAGCAAACTACAAAATGATAGCAACTAGATATAGTTCACGACAACAAAAAAAAACATCTAGGTGGAATGGAACAAACTCGATAAAAGTAGAGGACTTTAGGTTCAAAAGTGGACATGGGAAGGTTGTTATTAGAATGGGGTAAAGATAGGGTGTAGGAAAAAAATGGATAAATATTATATTTTGAAAATATCATATTTGTGAACAGTCTCACCTTCTAAAACAGGGGTGTCCAACATGTGGCCCAGGAGTGTTAAGCATGCAGCCCGGGAATATCTGGAGGGATGCTGGGGATGCTGTGTACGGCATAGTAGCTGTGGTGGTGGCTGGCCTTGAAAGGCCAGGCACGGGCACACTGGAGAGATGCTGGGAATGTTGTGCACTGGCAGCCGCGAATGCAGGGAAGTAAGTGCCACTTGGCCGGATCAAGGAGGGTGCTGGGCTGGACTGTGCCCCCTCCCCCATTTCAGTTGCGATCCCCCCCACAGAAGTCAACACAATATAGCTTGGTTTGTGACTGAATAAGAAAGGACAGCAAAATTAATTTCCAAGCCTACATTTCTCTATAGCGGATCATTTTATCTGCTGAACTATTTATAAACTTTAAAAGATTAAAAAAAACAAGTGTATATTAACTAAAGCAGAAGTAGGATTTAATTTCTTTATTACAACTATAGCAAACAAATAACGTGCCAGTAATTTGCAATAAAAAATTCAGCTGCTTGGGCACAGCACAGCAGTAATAACTGCTAAAGCGAAGTAAAAGTAAATTACCTTTACAACAAAAAAACAAAATAAGAAAAATAAATGCAGTCAGCTACAGACAA